AACGCGCCGGCGTCGCTGTGGGCCCGACGGGCGAGGGGTCTCCAGCTGCCGTGTAATAAAATCCGAAAGGATCGTTGTTCCCACGGCTGTGCCCTTTGTCCATTTCGGCGAAGGACATTGTGTGAAGCAGCCCTTGATGGAAGGAGGGTGGGCCCCCCAAAGCTCCACCCCAAAGCTCCAGTGTGTCTTCTCGGCTTATGATGTTCCCATCCTTGTTGTTGTTGAAAATTACACAACTTTCCTAGTAACTTTTCTAGTTAAAATTTTTAATGAATTGTTTTAATCAATCATGAACAGTGTAATTTTCCACCGTAGCCAAGCACTAAGCAAGGTTTTTCATAAACTGCTATTGTGGGAATGCAGGTCAGGAAAATTACTAAAACTTTTAAGTTTTGCTAAACCAACTTTGATACACTTAATTGGACTAAACATGGGAGAGACATAGTGCTGAAACTGGACTCATGGAATGCAAAATTTATAGTCTGCAAGAACATTTTGCATGACCCAGAGATAAAGAAACTAATAAAGACAATTCAGCAATTGTCTTATCTGGGAAAAAGATAATAAGATATTGTCATAGATACATATTATAACAGTGGCTTTTCACAAATATTAAAATGGATTTATACATGTGATGTTAAAGTAACTTTCTAACAAAGATTGTTTTTATTTCTGTTGTTAATTAAACTTAGTGAAATAGCTATGCTTGTGTTAAAATGCCTGCTTGGATGAAATAACATCCAGTGAACACAGGATGAGGACACCTGCTACGCCAACTATCAGCACTCACGGTCTGAGGTCAGTGTGGATCAAGGCCCAAAAACAGGAGGTGATAAGAATGGATTAAAACCACAAGCAAGGAATCTGCATGCTCTAAAAAGGCAGACGCAAGGAGGAGCCATGCTAAACAATTCTTGGAACATGTAAACTAGTTTGGGTGAAAAATTTACTATGCATAAGGGCCTATGAATTTGCAACAGGCTGATGTAAAGGAAAGGTATTTAAGTGGTATCTCCAAAGATAACTGTGTGGTCTTGGCTGAGTGCCAAGATGCACCCAGCCGAAATAACCTTTGCTCTGAGGTCCTTGTCTCTTAGTGTCCTTTATTAAACTTTTTAACTTTTCACAGGAGAGTGAACAGATTTTTCACAGATCATAACGACTGAAAATGTAGGCTAATGAGCCTGAGAAGTAAGAAATCTGTAACCAGTAGAAGATAAAATACTAATTAATGAAGAGAACTATGTATTTTATAGCAAATGAACATTAATTGCTTTGCTAAAGTGCATAAATAATGAAAAGTTTTGGAAGTGTGCAAAGTGTGTAAGTAAGTGTGTAAGTTGCAAGTGTGTGCCATAGGTGGAGCTCCCTCTATTCACCCAGCATTCTGAATAAAGTAATGCTGCTTTCTAATCTAAACGTAGAGTTTCATTTGTCCGGACGTTTTTCTGTGAGAGTCACCCTGGGGAATGGGACCTCTGTCCCAGCCACACCCTGCTACGGGAGCGATGCTGTGGAGACGTGCTAGGTGTGGGGCTGTTGCACTCACCGGGCTGCCTGGCAGGATGCGGGAGCCTGGGACTGTCCCGGGGACTCCGGAGCACCGTGCGGACACGTCTGCCGCCCTGAGGAGGGCAGCTGGGACCGCTTGACCCCCGAGCTGCCTTCAGTAGTGGGCGCTAAGGCCCGGCATCACGTTTGGGGTTGCGTGGGGTCCCAGCTCTACCCGGGGAGGCGCCGTGGCAGGGGGGAGACAACAGGTGTGGGAGGGCAGGTGTGGGCCGGGAGAGGTCCGAACACGGGCGTGTCACCCCTGGCTGGGCTCTCCGAAACCGCAGGGCCAGAACGTAGCGGGCTGTCCCATGCCATCAGCGATGACCAGGATGACCACAGTACCCGGCTAGGAGCAGGGAGTCCCGGAGAGCCGTGTCCCGGAGCGGGGTGTCCCCGTCGGGGTCGCCGGGAAGGGACGAGCCGTCCCAATGTGTCGCCTCGCGAGCGGCTCGGGACCTCCGAGCCGCCAGGGGGCGACGCATGTCACTGCCGCCATGCTTTGTACTTCCGCGGCGGGCCGGAAGCACTCGCCCTTTCTCGGCAGAGCGCAGCCATGGTGAGAGCGCGGTGGCGCGGCTCTCCGCCGCCATCCGCCGCCATCCGCCGCTCACCGCGGGCTGTGGCCACCCTCCCTGCGCGACAAGCGCGGGAGGGAGCTCGCCGCTTGGGTCCGGGGGACGGGAGTTGGAGAGAGCCGGGGAGGGATGGCTGGGGGGGGGCAGGGCCTGGCGGCGGCCCGTAACACACCGCTTAACACGTCCCGTCCTGTAGGCCCGCGGCCCCAAGAAGCATCTGAAGCGCGTGGCTGCACCCAAGCACTGGATGTTGGACAAGCTGACGGGCGTCTTCGTGAGTGCGGGCCTGGTTTGGGTTGAAGCTGGGGTCGGGCGTGGGTTTGGGGTTGAGTCTGGGGTCGGAGGTGGGGCCTGGGTTCGTGGCAGCCGCAGTCACATCAGGAGAAGTGTTCAGGTGCTGCGTGGGGGCGAGCGGTGAACAAGGGCAGTTGGACACGGCAAGAGGTGTTTGTTTAACATTGGGGTCTTTGTGAATAGCGTTCGTGTTCCCCCGTTTGCGGAAGATGTGATAGGGTCGTTGGATGTTCTCTTTTAATCTGTCTGTTGTGCTTTTCCACCTCCGAGTTAAGATGGGTGGTTGTGCTCTGTTGGGGACTGTGCTCTGTGAGGCTGGCAGGGCTTGGGGAAACCACTGTGAATACCAAGAACAGAGAGCTTCAGCCGGTCGCTGGGTCGCTGCCTGCGTGGCAGCTGCGCTTTGTGCCGCTGCCCTTCCGTGGTCTTGCGGGAGCTCTTGGCGCTATGGTTTCCTTCTGTGGGGTGGTTGATGCTGCTTGAGCCTCCAGCAGAAACTTTCTGTCGGCAGGCTCCCCGCCCATCAACAGGCCCGCACAAACTGAGGGAGTGCCTTCCCCTTATCATCTTCCTTCGCAACCGGCTGAAGTATGCTCTGACGGGAGATGAGGTCAAGAAGATCTGCATGCAGAGGTTCATCAAAATAGATGGCAAAGTCCGCACCGACATCACCTACCCTGCAGGCTTCATGGGTGAGTAGGGTTGGGGCAATTCCTTAGGCAACTCTTCTACACTGAAAGGAGAGTGTTCTGTGGGGCTGGCATTATTTGAGGGGTAAGGTTTCCCTGCTGGAGTTGAAGAAAATATAAGCAGTGGTTGCTTAATTTGTAATTGTGCACTCCAGTGAGTGCCATACTCATATACTTGTAGCCTGTAAGTGCCTGCTTGACCTGAGTACGTTGCTGTTCAGATTCCAGCCTTCAGCAGTTTTTGCTAATTTGCAATCTGTTGCCTGCAAAAGATTGTGAGTCTTTGCTCAAGGGTAAATCCCAGCCTCATCAGTCACACCCTAAGTGTTGTTCAGCAGTTTCTGTTTCTTTTTAAACATGAACTTCATCCTAAGTTAGGGTCTTGGGTAATGAGCTGATAACAGCTGCTGTTATAATTCTCTGTCTGCAACCAGATGTCATCAGCATTGAGAAGACAGGTGAGCATTTCCGCCTGGTGTATGATACCAAGGGCCGGTTTGCTGTTCACCGCATCACACCTGAGGAGGCCAAGGTGAGGAGCTTTGATGGTGGTGAAAGGGTGGGCCCAGTTGGGTTTGGCTGGGGCAGTGCTTCCTCTTTGGTATCTCCTGAATGAGAGCTGATGTCTCTCTTCTCTGACAGTTGAGGCCATGCTGCACTTGGGATTGGGGCGCTCAGAGTTGTGGTGAAGCCTGTGGGGGAGGGGGGAAGGAGATCTCCTTGTTACATAGAAGAAGTTCACAGATGGCTGTAGGGTCATTGTCTGGTGCTGGAGATGATCCTGTTGGCATCAGAGAGTTTTGGGGTGGAGGGGAGTCTTGGCTTTGCCAGCTAACAGTGACTAGAAACATGGAACTGTCTGTGGCAAAAAAGCCTTGAACTTCTTCCCAGAGCAACACAACTGCCTACTCATCCCAGATGCTGGGGAGCAACTTCCTCATGCATCCCTTAACCCAGGCATGGTGTTCCTCAGCTGCAATGCTGCTCTCTGGTTTGCATCTCCTTTAAGGCAGGCTGTGCAGGCATGCAGCTGTGTGGATGGCAGAGCTGGCTGTGCTGGAGCCAACTGTGGTGTAGTTCTCCTTGTGATGTTCTTCTCTGATGACTACTCTGTGTTGATCTGTGAGGTCCAGAGAGGCTGTGAGGGAGTTAGTGTAATAGGCAGGAGAGAAATCAGTGCCCTTGAGGGGGCAGATCGCTGTTCGGTCCTGGAGAAATGCAGCCTCTGTCTCTGTTGTGTTCCATGGGCTTTGGGGGAAAATAAGGGAACTGTCCTGGTAAAGATTTGGCTGTGAAAGTGCAGCCAGTGTTTGTGGGGAGGCTGAAGCTCAAGGTGGGCTGCTACTCCCAACAGCAAAGGTGTTTTGGTGTGGGGCTGTAGCAGAGCTGCTTGGCAGCTGTTCAAAAGTCCTTACTGAGGCAGGGAGCTGGACAGGTCACTGCGTGGGCTCATGTGTAAGCCCTGAGTGTCTGGGTGTTCTGCTGGCTGGTGGCTCTTTGGAGTACAGGAGTTCCCTAGTCCAAGGTACTGCTCGCTGCCTCAGCTGAGAGATGTTGGGTTTTGTTTGCAGTACAAGCTGTGCAAGGTGAGGAAGATCTTTGTGGGCACCAAAGGAATCCCTCACTTGGTCACTCATGATGCCCGCACTATCCGCTATCCAGACCCCCTCATCAAGGTGAATGATACGGTCCAGATTGACTTGGAGACAGGCAAGATCACAGACTTCATTAAGTTTGACACAGGTAGGTCTTGCATGACATTAAAGCACTGTACCCTTCCCCACCGTGGAGAGCAGTCGAAGTTAAATGCTAGGCATATTTGCACTGAAATAGAGAGGCCAGCGGTGTCAACCTTGAGAAGGGGTTTGTTTCCCAGGAGCATGTCCACCTGGAGGTGGAGCAGGGGATTCTTCCTGCAGTGGGAAGCATTTCACAGGGACTTGGCAGTTCTGAGGCTCCAGGTAGAAGCAGCGAGCTGGTGGAGAGGTGCTTCAGCTTGTCTTTTGGTGATGAGAGACAGTTTCAGTCACAGAGCTGTGAGCAGTGCTAGCACGGGTTGGATGGGAATCTTTGGTAATGGGCAGAGAGCCCAAGTGGAAGGACTTCACAGCACGTGGTGCCAGCTCTTATCACACCTGTATTCCCTTACTCAGGTAACCTGTGCATGGTGACCGGCGGTGCAAACTTGGGCCGTATTGGGGTGATCACCAACCGGGAGAGGCACCCTGGGTCATTTGATGTGGTTCATGTGAAGGATGCCAACGGCAACAGCTTTGCCACCCGGCTGTCCAACATCTTCGTTATTGGCAAAGTAAGGCTGTGGAGGCGCCAAGTGGGGGGGTTCTCTTGAGAGGGGCTCTCTCTTGTGAGGGGCTGCTGGCTGAGACAAAGAGCCTTGCTGTTTCCTTGGGTAGCTGTCTTCCCACACAGTGGAGCTTCAATGCAGGCCTCAGTTCTGACTCAGCTCCCTGTATTTTTCGTGCTCTGGGAAGGGGAAGAAGCATTTGCAACTTTAGCCATGACTGTGTTTTCAAGAAGCAGCCCTGAAATCTGAGAGCTGGGGGCTGAGCAGTGCTCAGACTTGGTGTGATCTGAGCAGCTTCTGTGACTCCGAGTGCCCCCCAGAAAACCTCTGCTGTTTTGCCATCCCTGAAGGCTCTTTGTTGATGTTATGGTGGAGGGGCAGTGTTTTGGTTTTGGCTGAAGCGCATTCTTCATGGATGTGACTGAAAGGCAGCTGTAGATCTGTGCATCCTTGGCACCTTCCTTAGGGGCCTCTGCTGCACCAGTGCCATCACCATGTATACCTGACCCAGCATGAGCAGGGGTGGGCTTGTGCTGCTTTCCCCCTTAGAGAGAGAGAGCTGTGTTGCTATCTGGGTTTCCTGATGTGAAGTGGTTTCTTCTCCCTTGCTGCAGGGCAACAAGCCATGGATCTCCTTGCCCCGTGGAAAGGGCATCCGCCTGACCATTGCTGAAGAGAGAGACAAGAGACTGGCGGCCAAGCAGAGCAGCGGATAAAGTCCAGCTCAGGCTGGCTCTGGTGCTGTCAGTGTGTTAATTAAACTGTTTACTACATGGCTCTGACTGCTGGGGAGTGTCCTGGGGCTAGGGTGGGGAGCCATGCTAACAGTGCCAGGCCCTGCTCCCCAGAAGGTCCTGCTTCTCCTGTCTGAGCAAGTACCACAGCCTTATTCCAGAAGGGCAAGGAGGAAGGGTGGGAGAGCCTTCAGACTGCTCTGTCTGTCCCTGCAAAGGTGTTTGCACAAACTCTTCTGGATGTGCAGGAGGAGCAAGGATATGGGGAGATGGATGTGCAGGAGGAGCAAGGATATGGGGAGAGCTGGCTGGGCTCTCCTGTAGCCAGTAGTGCCAGATCAGTTTGAGGGGCTACCCCAGCTTTGTTGGCTTCAAGGGTGTTGGCACTAAGTGTCCAAGTGGGACTGCTCCTCCATGTCTTTTCTGTGGAGGTGGAGGGTGTGAGTGATCACACTGACAGCCTGACCTAAGCGGGAGGGGAATGGGCTGCTGGGGACACTTGAGCATCAGCCTGGCCTTCAGGAGCAAAGGAGCTGGGGACTGGTTGTGGCATTGGGAATAGCTCTGGAGGACAAGGTGGGCTGGTGTGGGCAGTGTGTCCAGTCAGGAAGGGCAGCTGCACAACTGGGCTGTGCCAGGAAGGGTGAAAGAGGCATTGTAGGAAAGGGGAGTCTGTGCCTGGGCATGGTGTGCAGACTGGTGCCATCAAGTCCAGGCAAGTATGGGCACTGGAGCAATGCCAGTGGAAAAGCTGGAGTGATGGAGGCATAGAAGAGGCTGAGGGCACAACCTCTCCTCTGCTCAGCCTGGGGAAGAGGAGTCCTGGGGCCTCTCCCACTCTGCCTGCTTGCGTCAGCCTTGTGAGCACTTGTCTTCCAAGATGGATGGGGCACAGATGCGCACGATTGCAAAATTGGCATCTTTTATCAGCTTCATCAGGTGTCATGGAGAAATGTAATTGAGCCTCATGAAGTGTCTGCAGCCAGCTATATTCTGATGTTATGCTCTCAGGAAAGCTGAGTGCTTGTGGCACTGCCCATGTTCCCTCGAGTGTTGCTGTGCTGCTCCCTCTGGATGCTGCACAGGCTCAGAGCAGCAGCATCTCCAGGGTCTTTCATGGTGCTGGCAGTGGGCTTGGTGCTTGGGCTGTCCTGTGATGCACAGATGTGAGCAGCTAGAAATGTGGGCAAAATCCCCACATTTTCATGCACAGAGCCAAAAGCAAATGTCACTTAGTTTTTATGTTGTGAAAAAGATTTAGAAAATAGCCAAATTGAATATTTGGGAAAGAAAAACCCAGTTGTTATACTAGCAAAATTTCCAAAATGGCAATGAAAACGACAGGTGGGAAAATTCGAGGTGAAGTGTGTGCAGTTTAGGGGTGGGTATTGCCATGGATTATCCAGTGCGGGTCAGTTAGCCGCATGAGGTTGCTTCGTGTGGGTTATCCCAAATGTGCTGTCTGCTGAGCATTATCGCGGGTGGATCTGGTGTACGTCATCTCTCTGTTTCTCGTGCATCTCCCCGGCTCCCTCCGTGTCCTTTCCCCGCTCCTCGGCTGTGTCCTCCCGCTCAGTCCCCCCGAGGCGGCCCCGCCGAGGCGCCACCGTGCGGTCAGTAGCTGCTCCTGCAGCCAAGAAAGCCGCGAATGCGCGTTCCCCGCGAAAGGGAGTTTCTCCCTGCTGCCGCCCCCTGGCCAAACTGCCGCACTGCAAGTACACAGCGAAACCCACGTGTGCGGGACCGGGCTGGGAGCCGCCTCTCGGGAAGCACGCTCTGCTGTCGTCCCACAGGCGCGATGTCGGCGCCGCTAGGAGTGCAAAGCGCGGAAGTGCCGGTACTGTCGGAGCGCTGCTGCCGCCCAACCCGCGAGGGGTTTGAGTGCCCCTCCCGGCCGCCGGGCCTGGTGCCCGCGCGGGTATTTGGGAGCGACGTGGCAGAGCACTGGGCGTGGGGCCGGGCGGTGGCAGCGGCAGAAGAGGGATGAGGTCGCGGCAGCGGTGAGATGACAGAAAGCCTCAGCGAGTGAGGAAGAGCCGCCGCGGATGGCAGGGAAGAAGCTGCAGCCCACCGCCGCGGCTGCCGGCCCGGGCGGGGGCGGCCGCATCTCGAGGCCAGAGCTGAGTGTCTCTCCATGTGGCCAGAGCTCCCCTGAGCCTCTTGACCGCCCCTGTTCGCCTTGTGCCATTGCCTCTGCTCCAGCATCGCCCCTGAAACCTGCCCTGTGTCCACTAGCCACCCCGCGCGGCCGGTTGGCCGTCGAGGTGTCCCTCAGAAGCCCCTGCAGAAAGAGGGATTCGTGCAAGGTATCTACGGTAATAACAGTCGCTGCTGCCTCTTTCCCTCTGCCAGAGGCCACAGCTGAGCGTCTGCATGTCCATTCTTCCCCGAAGCATGCCCAGGCAATGATGCCAGTGACTGCATCCGCCTGGGGCTTGTTTGGGTCGCTAGTGTTACAGATACATATTATAATAGTGGCTTTTCACAAATATTAAAATGGATCTATATGTGTGATGTTAAAATAACTTTCTAACAATGATATTGTTTTTATTTCTGTTGTTAATTAAGCTTAGTGAAATAGCTGATATAAGTGTGCTTGCGTTAAAATGCCTGCTTGGATGAAATAGCATCCAATGAACACGGGATGAGGACACCTGCTACAGATGTGCCAACTATCAGCACTCACCAAGGCAGTGTGGATCAAGGCCCAAAACAGGAGATGATAAGAATGGATTAAAACCCCAACCAAGGAATACACATGCTCTAAAAGGTGGAACTGAGGAGGAGCCATGCTAAACAATTCTTGGAACATATAAACTAGTTTGGGGGAAAAGTTTACTATGCATAAGGACCTATGAATATGTAACAGGCTGATGTAATAGAATAGTATATAAAGGGTGTTTCCAAACTAGCAGGCATGGTCTTGGCTGAGTGCCAAGATGCACCCGGCCATAATAACCTTTGCTCTGCGGTCCTTGTCTCCTTTGGTCCTTTATTAAACTTTTTAAATTTTCACAGGAGAGTGAACAGACTTTTCACGTTAGTGTCACTGAAACTGCAGGAAAAACAAAAACAGCTCTTCAAAGTTTTTAGTGTTAGAGAATCAAGACATTACTTTATTCTGGCCAGGATGTTGTTCTGGCCAGGATGTGCAACAGAAATAATTTCATCCACACATTGCCCGGATTGTGCAGAGAAAATAATTCAATGACTCAGCTCTTTACTCGACTTTTCACGTATTTTATACAGTCAAAACCTGTAGAAATTAGTTGGTTCAATCTTAATTATTTCCAAGTTGCACAGTTCTTAATATTTGGTTTCCTGTTGGATACGGATTTCTTCACCTTCAATGCTAATTAGGTTTTCATTCTTATCTCTGTTTTCTCAGAGCAGGTGTCTCTGATCATGCCAGGAGTGTTGTCTGATGTTGATGGTTGTTAATGGTTATTTCCTTTTGTGTATCTTCTGAGCTACTTCCAGTCCCTTGAGTTTAAGCTCATCAGACCTCACCTGGTGAACCAGTTCCCTGAAAAGAAACTTCAATTCTCTTCTCCCGGGGCAACGGCGAGCTAAACTGACTAAAGTTACATTAGAATTTAAAAATTTTGCATGAAAAACTGAAACTGTATATAATTTCCAACCTTAGTACCAGCCTTACTCCCTCCAGGCCATAGGTTGAAGAGGGACAGGATGAGCACTTACTGGCTCGGAGAGGAGCTGCTGTGGCAGAGACTGGAGAGGCCATAAAAAAGACAAATAAAAATTGGAGGCCATCCGACAGGTCTCTCTGCAGACAAGTGAAAGCCTCCCTCACTGGGTGAGAAGGGGAAAGATGCATCCAAACTGGTAAATTTTCCCGGCAGTGCCAAGAATCATCCAAGAATCACAGCTGAGGTACGTCTAAGGTCCCTTGGGCCCTGTCTTGTGTGTCTCAAGGCCTCTTTGCTTCTCTCCTGACCTGCTTTTTTTTCACATGTTGCTGTGACTATTTTATTTTGCTTCCCTATACCTCTCTTTTTGTCTCTTATTTGTCTTGCTCCCTCTTCCTACCTGTGAGAAACAGCTACTCACTTTTCATAGTTTAGGAAGGTTTATTAAACCTTATCAAAAATACAACAGAAGACTGAATAGAGAAAAAAGGTTACGGTGCTGGGAGGAAAAGATTTCCCCCACCATGTGCTCAGCCCCCCTCACAATGGAGGTTTCCCCTTTTTAACCCTTTAATCCCTCCCAAAGTTTCTGTCCATCATCCCCTTCTTTGCTGTCCAGTGGTGGAGATCTCTTCCTCAAATCCTGATTTGAAGTCAGATGTCCCCATAGTGACAAGCCAGCCCTCCCAGATGTCCCAACCCAGCTGTCCCTTGGTAACAACATGAGGGGGTAAAACATAACAAAAAATCAATAAAACTTTTGTTAACCTATATACATGATATTTGTCTATTAATTGTGAGAGTCAAACATCGCATTACTCCTCTATCACGCTACCACATTCCCTTTCCTTTTTCTCTCTGTGCTTCTGTCCCTCACCAGTTCTGTCTCCTTTTTTTATCCTCTGTCTCTCTTCTGCAGCTTACAGTTGTTTTTTCCCTTCTCCATTGATTTGTTCTGAGGTGAATCTGCCTCTTTTCTCTTCACAATTTATCTGGCCTGTTCTTTGGCATTTTTTCCCTCTCTGTACCTCTGTCTACTGCAGAGTGTTCCTGCATTCCTATCTCTTTCCTCCTTCCTTTTATTTGTCTCTATCCTTTTGTTTTGCTAACTGTTGCTGTTTGTTTCAGTTCTAGATCTCACTTGTGTTATAAATAAGCTATATGATGGTTAGCTTTCACAATTAAGAGGTGAATATTATGTGTAAGTGAAGTTTTATAGATGTACAGTTATGTTATATGTTCTCCCCATAGTCCTCTTTCACTTCCCCCTTGTACTGTAGTCACTGATCGGGGCATTTGGGGGGGCAGGCTTGTTACTAGGAGGTGTGGCACAGCAACACCTCACTGCTAATCAAGTTGTAAGAAAGGGATCTCCATCAATGGATGGCAGAG